AAGCAGTCCTATGAGAACTCATCTCGAGCTATTCTATATTTACCCCACCTACTAAGTGTTAGAGGTTAGGACCAATATGGGGAACTCCAAGAACTCTATGGGGAACTCCAAGTTGAGCAAAGAGGAGTTTAGAATTTTTAAAGGTGAGGGTTCCTCTTCTAATTTTCTAGGAATAGTCAACAGGAAAGTCTTATGGCTAGACTCTAGGCAACCAAAGAGGAAAAACTAAATCCCAACCAAATGCGAGGTTAACAAGAGTAAAAAGGAGCAAAAATACATAAAAAAGAAGCAAAACGGGCTAAATTGAAGAAAAGTGCTAAACCAGCTGATATGGCACCTAGGAACCCGATACATAAATTGGCAAGAGCCTAGGCGCGATGGTTGGGGGCATAGGCACCATGATTGCTTTCTAGAAGATCATTGTTTGAGGTCGAATTTCAAAAAGATGTCTGAAGCAACCCTTGGTTATTTTTGAAGCTCTATAAATATGGATTAATTTCAAACAGCTATGGGGTCAGATTTATAGAGTTATAGAGTCTCATATAGAGTCTCATAGTGTGTGAGTGTGTTAAGTGTTTGAGAAGTTTTCCTTGTGAGTCTTTGTTATTTTTGGAGTTTATGAGTCTTGTAAGTGTTGTTAGTCAAAGAACTTCAAAGGAGTGCTAGGGGGAACATTCCAGATAAGTATTTGTATCTTTGTGCTTATGTTTTGTACTTTAAGTTGGAGTTTTATAAATATATTTTCTTTTGTTATCCCCATGCTTCGTGAGTAGTTTTCTTTGAGTAGTTTTCTTTTCTTTCGTGAGTAGTTTTCTTTTCTTTCTCCGTACCATATGAAGTAATTAAGTAAGTGATTTTGATTTTTTTTAGAACTATTATTTCTAAAATTGTGATGATATTTGTACTAATCCTTCATTTACTTTACAAATTAGTCACTTGTTATGTTAAAACCTGTTGAGAAACTTATAGACCCGAAAAGGCTAAGATTTATTGACTTGTAAGTATCACATTCTACCTTGGAAAGAGCAGTCACGATGGTTTAAAGGTGATGCAAATAAATCGGGAGATAAGCTTTATGGGCATAAAATTGATATTTCTATAGGGACAAACTAGATTCTTTTATCAATTTGGTCTAGAGATTGGAAATAAGGGTCACTAGTAAATCCTATAGAGAGTGCACATTGGGTAATCTAGGAGTGAGAGACTAGGACCTACCCAACATTATTATACATGTCGACACTAACTTTAGATTAATCTATATTTTTTACATAACTCGAAAAAAAGTAAAGAAATATGTATGCTCTTATTTGTCACAATACCACATTTAAGTTTCTAAACAAATTTTGAAATCATTCACTGATTATGAATTATTGGCAAGGAGAAATTCTCTTTATATATATTGTTTAAGTCATTACATTTACTTTTATTTGCATATTGTAGAATTTAGTAAACTTAATTTTCATCTTTAGATAGATGCTGCATTCTTTAGTAAAGTTTTCTTAAAGTAAAAAAATTCCTGTATTTTCTTTTATTGTTTACTTATTTTCGGCTTTCTCATGGGATCGATACTAAGTTTTTAAAGAAAACTCTATATTACTTGAAATAATACGTATACTTGCGCAATACCCCTAGTGAGAAAACTATTTCTTTAATCGTATTACATTTATTCTCACTAGTTGCTAAATATAATTTGGGACAAGTTTTTGGCATATTAAGGAACATAAATATCTGCGCAATTGTGGATTGGGCCATCATACTGAGCGCCTTAATAAGACAAATTCAACAAACCTAAGTTTCTTAATATTTAATTTATTATGAACCTCAAATCATTTAAAAAAACTCTTATAATGAAGGGAAATCAATATGGGTGATCAAATTATATGGTTTGGGAAGTTATTCACCAAAGAACTAAAATACCACACATTTAGAGCCTATAAATAGACCCCCTTTATTCACTTGAAGGGGGAGGAGAATGAGTTAAATTTTAAATATGTTATCGATATAAGAACTAATGATAACTTCTGGCTTATGTAGCCAGTGACTACTGTCGACCACTGCCAGCTGGCCACCCTCGACTATCGCTAGTTCTCGTTGACCACTACTACACTCCCCTCTGCTTCCCGTTGTTGGTGGAATTTTTTGAGTAACAAAGCAATCTGGTGGGCTCTGTTAGGTAACAAAGTATTCTGGTGAACTCTTTTAAGTAACGAAGTATCCTGTGTAGCAAAGTACCTCAAATAATGCGCAACTCTGTATCCCAAACACAATATATTGGAGACCCGATAGCAACTTCTAACTGCAATTACTCATAGCCGATGTATTCAAAATACAACGTATCTTTTAATATATTGTATATAGACAATCATTGTATTTGGTGTAATATCATAAACATTTTTGCTCACTAGTGGGGCAAAGGTATATCTTTGTACTTGTGAATTTATAGTGAATCATTTTAACTGAGCTAGACCCCATGATTTTTTTCATTTTCGAGTTTTTCCCAATGTTGAGACAAGACATTGAACTGGTAGAAGGAGGGGTTGAAGGTTCAAAGGTTGAACTAGATGACCTATAAAATCATAAATGTATTTAAAAATGACAATACGTAAGATTGACATCCCAATCAATCAATATGTATTTAAATAACTAACACATAAAATTCAATTTTAACACGTCATTTTATCTATGCATGTAAATACATATTTCACTTTGTAAAAATTAAGATAGTGATATATTTTATGTGATATGGATGATCTGATGGTGTGAATGTAAAAAAAAATTGTGTTTGGGTATTAGATAGATAAATAAAAAAATTGAATTGTATGTAAGTAAATTAAATTTCTTCGTAATAATGATGTTTTTGATGTGATATGAGTGATTTAGATGGTATAAATGTAAAAAGTAGAGTGAAGGAGATAGATATGCAAAATACATAAAATTAATGTAAATGCCCGTGAGCCAAACAGTTCTTTTGAATTGGAGTCTATTTGTTGGTTTAGAGATTGAACTGTCGGTTCAGTCTGGCTTTTGGTGATTATCTGCGGGAGAGTTTTTTTATGTCAATCGCAACTGGACCTACGGTCGGTTCATGGTCGAACAGGTCGTCCGGTCCGGCTTTCTAAACCTTGCTTTTTTCACATTAAATGTATTGATATTTTTCTTCTGTTACATTTTGAATCATTTGTGTGCATGTTGAATTTTCATATCTAATCAAGATGCTAAATTATTATTCTATCATCACAAATTTTCGTACATAATTAATATGCACGTGTAATTTTTTTTCTTAATTTTAAGATTATGTTACTAAATTGTCTCTTTGTAAAAAAGATAAGAGCAATTTATAAATGGAATCTCTAATTTTTTTAAAATAAATATTACAATTAAGACAAGTTATCATAAAGGACCTTTCAATATATATTTTGAAACAATTTTATACAAAGTTCTTAGAGAATTAAGGCTTCCTTTGGGGCCACTTTATTTTCTAAAAAAGTTTCTTAAGACTTAATTTAAAAAAAAAACAGTAGCATGAAGTCATTATTGTTAAGCTGAAAATCTTGTTTGGTAAAAAATATTATTTACAGTTTTTACAAGAGTTAAAAGACAAAAATATCTACGACATTATCTTTTATTTTTTACAGCTTTCATGGCTTACAGGCCTCACTTTACAGCTTTTATATTAAATTATTTCCACTGATGCACACAATAAAAATTTCACAGCTTTTCTTCGAGGCGGAGAAGACCGTTTTCACGGCGTACAGAACAATAATTTCTATAAGATATTCTTCTCCAGCACAAGCGATGCACCTCTCACAGAAATCTCTTCAAAATTTTTTCTCTAGCCCAATCGGAAGTTCTTCTGCTGCAATGAAGCTCTCACAAAACATGGACTTCGTCGCCGAGTACACTTTGGAGGTTATTTTGGATTTTTTAATTTTCTAAATTGAAAGAATGCTGAGCCGCAAAGTGAAAGCCAAGGAGAAGTCATGTGCTTAAACTTGAACGAAATACAATTGCTATCAAAGCATTGTTCATTGACGGAGATCACCAAATAAATATTATAGCTCTTGCTGCCATTCGTTAGAAGTGAATGGTGCCCGACCACTTTCTCAATCAGGCCCTAGGTTTGGGTTGAAGTTTGAATATGTTTAGGTCCGAGTTAAGCAATTTCTAGCTCCCTTTTTCTGATTATCAGAAATCAACATCTTATTGTATGAATTCTTTGACAAAAACTATAGCATAATAAAAGAAGTAATAATAATCTGAAAAAAAAAAAAAAAAACTGCTCCAAAGTTCAAATGAATCGTTCTGATTCGAACTAATCACATCAAAGAGGCACATTTATCCTTTAATTGGAATTGATGATTGGGCTAACAGCTCCCGGTAGATATTTGGGCCGGATCCAGTGAGCCCACCACGAATTGGAGCTCCTTCCCACGCACATTCAAAAATCCAATATCAGACGCGATCAAAGAGCCGTCGGATCCGGTGACCGATCCCAAACCCGAAAAACTGATGCTCGTGGTGTCGGCAGTCTGCAGCACATAGCAATTACGTACCTCGTGGCACTTTCACCTGGGCGAGCTCCAACAACCACAAATCTAGCTGTCCGCTGTTCGGCGTCCCTCCCAAGCAGATTTCCGGCCGTTTCACCACGTGGGTGATCAAACCCTAACCCTAAGCGGCCAGCTCAGCCCACTCATCCCATTTTTTTCCAAATTTCACCGCCCCACCATCCGTTCATCTGTAAACCTGAGGAAATTTAACGTTATCTCTACGCCGTTGTAGACTTGTTCTTAAAGCAATCCGCTTTCCATCCGCAATTCTTCGATTATCGATCTCTCTCAGAACTGCGAGGCGGCTGCCAGCATATTGTTTGAGGGCTTTGTGACGACAATTTTTGGATCTGGGAGTTGTCATGTTTGTGGGTGATGGAAGGGAGCGTTAGAGGTGGAAGTGAGAATGGGGGTTCGAGCGAAAGGGGGCCGCCGAAGCCCCCCGCTCTATAACTGGCAGTGCTTACCTGCCGTTAACGCCGGCCGGACTCCAATCAGTGGGACGCTTGTTCGTCACACATCTCTTGTTAGTACTCTGCCTTCTCACCTCTTAATTAATTTCACTACTTCTCAGAAGTTGATGTTTTTTTCTTAATGATTTATTATTGTTATTATTATTATTATTATTGTTGTTGTTTTGTATTTGAACTTTCTCTTTACTGTTTCATTGCGTACTGTTCTCTTTTCTACTTTTTATTGTAGTCTTAGTTATTAATTTTTCATGCAGGTTTGTAATTTTCGCCTTGTCCGGATGATTGATGCCCTGCCCTGTATCTGTCTTTGCATGAAATCTTCGTATTAGCAGAATTTGCATGGTTACTTTGTTGGATTTACTTGATCATTTTGCAGTTTCTTGTTAAAATGAGTTGAAGCTCGGTACTTGTTTGATGTTTTCTGTTAAAATTGCTAGCTTTCTTCATTCTCACGGCGCTGAATATTTATAGTGGTGGAAATTCCATGATTTGTCAGCTCCTTGAACTTTCTAAGCGGCACTCTTATAAGTTCTTTTAGATGCTAATGCTCTTAGTCCTGAGCTTTACATGATTACTTAATGGAGCTAGCAGAAATTCGTGAAGAGATTGATGCCATTTATCAAGTTAAGCTCGAGTTATCCACGAGCTGCTGAATTACGTCTTTATTTATGCATGTGTATTGTAATGTTCATTACTCCGGAGTAGCACCCTTTAATAGCAGGATATAGGACACTAGAGAGCGGTAGTTCGGAAAAAGCGTGTAAATTAGTTATGTTAAGCTCAATTTTCCCTTGGCTTGAGCTTTACATGATTGCTTAATGGAGCTTGTGTTTTGACTCAATGAGTTCAGTTAGCTCACCAACTGGCTCATTTCTTAAGAAAGAGCTGAGATTAATGCAGATTCAAGAGCTTGCGAAAATGGATCCATAAAAAGAATGTGAAATTGAAGGGGCTGGAATGAAAAAGATAGTGAAGGAAACATTGTCATTTATCAAGTTAAGCTTGAGCTATCCCCCGAGCTGCTCAATTACATCTTTATTTAAGCATCTGTATTGTAGAGTACAAGCTGTGCCAATGAGAGTTGTAGGATACAAGCAGTGCCAATAAGGTGGTAGTAGATAAAACTAATATCAAATGATTGGAAGGAATAGAGGTAGACCAATAAGATTGTTAGAAGTTACAGAAAAAGATTTGCTCATAGCACATTGAATTCCTCGAGTTGTGCCAACAGGAAAGTATGAGAACTTTGGATTTTTAAAATTGATCCGATTTAGATTATTATTTAATTACTATTTAGAGTATAGTTGCACGTCATTTATTCTTATAAAACGTAAATGATTTGGTTTGTTGAGAGATGGGATATTTTTTTTTGTTGTTGAAGTTATTTTTGGTAGTGTCAATCTTTGTTTCTTTACTTTGAAGTAGTGCGAGGAACTTGTGGAAAATATTATTTGGAGTTATGGCGCTCTAGTTGGAAAGATAGTCTAGCTGCCATGAGAAATGTAGGATGGACAACTAAAGTTTTGATTGTAGAAACATGCCCACTTATATTAATATATGTGGAAGTAGTGATGCTTAAATTAAATTTACTTGATCAATTTCTTATGATTTTTGTAGCTAACAACCATTTGGTGGCTTTCTCTTTTATGTTTGGAATATCAAAGCTTAAAAATTGTTGAATCTGCAAAAAATACGCTTAGTGGATTATAGCATTGAACTTTTTAATGTTTTGCTGAGTAATTTTAAATCATGTTTATGGTAATTTTTAAATTTTTGTAGTCCTAATAGCATATTTATTTTTTTTACTTTCATTACTCATAAACTAAGTTTTTCTTTTGCAGAAGCAAATTTCACATTCCTGTTGTGCCTGAAGTTAGTGGAAAAAATTGTGAAAAAGAGTTTATTCCTATTGTGCGCTCTGGTGCCTGGGTTGATATTGGATATCGGCAGAACATGGAAGATGCGTATGTTTGTTGTGATAACTTTACTGATGAATACTGCCTTAAGAATACGGGAGATGGACCCAATGCATTTTATGGGGTACATTTCCTTTCAAGTATTCCATGCAACTTATTCATGTTATTAAGCTGAGCATGCGCTTTTTATCTTCAGTTTAATCATATGTATCCTTTGAGGTGGTTAACTTTTGTTATTTTTTCTTTTTTTCATGAATCCGAAATCCAAGCATATGATTTCCATGATCATTGTTATGTACCATATTTGGTTAGGTTTTAACTTTTATGCATCTCATATATTCAACAATTCAATAATCTTTTTCTATTCCAGAATCTTATTTTCCTGCAATGATATCTTGTTTGTGAGAGCTTATAATGATTGTTATGATCTTTCTCTTGAGGATATTCCTATGAAAATTGTTGTTTATTTGAACATGTTTTAGCATTGTTATCTAATTTTACAGTAGCTCTATGTGTATTGATTTTTGTGCCTTGCCTTGTAGGCAATTGTGTTGATCCATAGTTATTATTAATAAGGCATTTTTGACTCGTGAATCTTCATCTAAACAATTTTTTTAATGATTAAGCATTTATATTGCAAAAAAAATGCAGCATTCTATCCTGTTTTCTCAACTATTGGTTCTTGTGTTGGGTTTTATTAAGGTATTTGACGGGCATGGTGGAAGGCATGCTGCTGATTTTGTCTGCAGTAACTTGCTAAGGCTTATCATGGAGGATGAGGATTTTCCAAAACATATTGAAAAAGTGATTACTTCTGCATTCTTGCAAGCAGACACTGCCCTTGCAGAGGCCTGCACTATTAACTCTGCTCTTGCTTCTGGCACGACTGCTTTGGCAGCACTTATTGTTGGCAGGTCAGGCTTCTTTCTCTGTTGCTAGAGATGGTAGAATTGCTAGCGTTCCCTTTGTAGATTTCTGCTCATTTTTCTGGCATCATGTTTTAATTACTTATATTTTCCGAAGTTTCTTTGAGTTTGACATTCTTTCCTTATTAATATGGTTTATCCTGTAATCAGCTTTTTTATTAATATTTAATTTGTAATGGTTTCCTTTAATTGATGACTTAAGTACCATTTTGTAGAATTATATCCATATTTATGTTCAATGTTAACTCTCTCTCTCTCTCTCACACACTCACACACAATCTATTGGCCAGTCTCGCTTGATTGGTTTGGCTCGTTCATTCTTTGTCTGCTTATCTCTCTCTTTCTCTTGTTCAGTCGGCTATCTATCTATGTTTTTCTATTTGTTTTTCTCTTTAGTTGTTTTTGTCTCTCTGTCTCTCCATCTCTCTTTCTCTATTTATCGGTCGGTCTCTGTGAATTTTAGTTTATCTCTCTATCTCTCTATTTGCCCATCTCGCACTATCTATTTGTCTATCTCTTAATTTATTTATTTATTTATTTGTCTCTCTCTCTCCCTCTCTCTCTATCTTTACATCTATCTATTTGTATGTGTATTTATCTGTCTATCTATCTAGATCGTTTTGGTGGGTTAGTTTTTTGGTGAGCCTGTTGGAATTTTGTTGAAATAGAAGAAATACGAAAAAAGAGAGGTAATAAAGAAAAAAACAAAGGAAAGCCTGCTGGAATTTTGTTGAAATTAAGAAAGAAGAATGAAAATTGATCTTTTTGGTGGGATAGTTTTTTGGCAAGACTGTTTGGATTTTATTGAAATATAAGAAAGAAGAATAAAAAAAGAGAAGAAAGAAAAATGAAAGCAGAATTGTTCGTGAGCCTACTAGGATTTTGTTGAAATTGAAGAAAGAAGAATAAAAAATAGAGAAGAAAGAAAAAAAGGAAATGGAGAAGGCCTGGTTATGGTGGACCATTTCGGCTTTGTGCAAGTGTTTTGCTGTTGTCTCTTAATGCAATTGTTCATATGATAAAGCTTGGTGGTGCCAAAGTATGGTGAAAGTGGCCGTGCCAAAATACAACTTTCGTTTGGCCTTGGCGTATCATTTCAACATGGTGCAAGTTTTGTTGTGTTGACCCTCAATGCAGTTGTTTATAGGCAAGTTTGGTGATGCCAAAAATATATTTGTGGCGTGAATGTAGAATCATATTAGAAGTTCTTTAGTATTTGCTCATTCAACTTTCTACTTTGTTGTCCGGGCTTTCATAATCATTTCATAGAGGAACTTTACGCATCATTTTAATTTCTTGTTATGATGAACTGTTTCAGTATTATGCAAGCGTAGTGTTGTTGTTGCAAGCTTGGTAATATTGTAAACTAGCGTGTTAGTGGTAGAGGCAAGGTTGATGGTGTTGAAAAATCATGTTGGTGTAAATAATGAACCTTGTTCAAGGTTTTTTGATATCTTTTTCAAAAAGTTTGTTATATTGCTATATGTTCCATTAATATAATATGAAAACAAGTTGTGCAACCATTGACAATAAACAACGTATTTTTATTATGAAAATTATTTAATCTCATGATGTCAACTAGTGCTTCTAAAACATTTTTTATCAAATAATTAAGTTTTTCCATTAAGTTGATATCAATTTTAGTTCATGTCTTTTGATATCAATTTTGGGGTGAAGTTCATGTCTTTAGCCTGTTTCAATTATTACATTTATATAATCAAGAAAGAATTGTGATGTTGTCCACATTTTTTTTATTTGGGATGCGGGTTCTAAAAATTCACCCCTCTTATTCTCTTTATTGAGTGTTTTGTGTTTAATATTCTAGGTCAAATTTTTAGAAGACATTAGATTACTGATTAGATACTACATATAAATTTTGCCCTCATTTTTTGTGGACTTTAAGATCTGTGGTTCGAGTTCCATAATCATAAGCCACTATTTTTAATTACCCTCCCTTATAAAGGGAGAGCACCTTTGATTAAGACTAGTTATTTAATGCTAAATATTTAACAATTAGTAGCAACAAACATAAATTTTATCTTTTAAAATTTATCACATTGAGCTTTAAAGAGGATGGTGGGAGAAATGATGAGGAACTTGTTGAAGATCTCATGGTTCCGTTGTCCTGGGCCGTCATGTTCCATGATCTCCTTTGTCAGAGCAGATAGTTGACTTAACTTGATTGAAGGATACTTGTCAGCAGCTATAAATTGTGTCACCCAAGAGACCCTTGTTGATTTAAGACATGCTTGTCAAGGGTATAAATATAAGTTGACTTTAGCTAAAAGAAGTCTTTACGTCAATCAAATGTATTATTATGGTTCACAACTCAAAAGGCAAAAAACTGTTGGAAAAGCATATGAGTCACGACCTTGACCGTAATTTAATGATTTTATTTAGTTGCAAATCAATTGATTATAGAACTTTGATCGTAATTGATATTTTTGTTAGTCTTTGGGCCAAATCACGCGCACAAAAACTTGTGCCACGTTTTTACTAACGTGTGATTGTTTTGAGTGTATATTAATGATGCACTCAATATGACATTCATTTTTGTGAGCTTAAGTTAATAAAAATATGTTATCCTTGATAAGTTGTTACGGATGGTGAATGTAGATTGCTTTAAAATTTTTAAATGATTAAATATAACTTAAATATTTTAGTTTATTTGTTTAAAAATTTAAGTGATTTATTTTAACTTTAATATTTTGATTATTTGATTTAAAAATTGACCTTTCAAGTTGAAATTTTCATTTAACATGGTTATCATTTGGAATTTGATTGCTTGATTTGAATCTTATCAACTTTACATCTTGCTTATAACGAAGATCGGGTTTAAGACTGATATGTGATTGAATTTGAACCTTTTCAACTCTGCCTTACTTTTGGGGGTCAGATATATATATATATATATTAGTTAAATTTATTCAAATTGATTTTAAATTTTAATTTCGACATTGAAAAATCTTTCGTCAACCCAGTCATCATTAAGATTTTGGACATTTAAAACACAATTGAAATATATAAGAAATTTTGTCATTTCAATATATTTAAAATATTAATCTTTTTTTAGAATTCTAGAAAGAATTTTATTTATGGCTCTCATACATAAATTACACTTTGCTACATGTACATAATACTGAATACTGAATGGAAACAAAATAGGAATCCCCCAAAATAAGACAAATACGAAAAAAACACATTATCTAATAATGGAAATGCAATCTGTGAAATATATTCCGAGGATAGAAAATAAATTCCATCATAATGCGGATTGACATTTTCCAATGCTCCCCTTCAAGATGGATTGTACATATTATACAAATCAAGTTTGAACTTCGATTCATCATGATTGACTCTTGGTAGTGATTTCGTAAGATTATCAGCTGTTAGAACTCATGTAGGAACATGGCCCTGTTGAAAAATTTTATTAACCTTTTTTGAGATGAAATGACACTCAAACTTGATGTGTTTTGTTTTGTTATGATGCATAGAGTTTTTTGTTATGCTAATATTTGTATAGCTATCAATGAACATGTTAATTGTGTTTTTCATCTCAACCTTAAGTTCTCTTAATAGTGTTTGAATCCAGACTCACATATTCCTTGTGCAAGAGCATGATACTCAAATTTTGCACTACTTCGAGAGACAACAACTCAATTTTATCTTCTTCATGTGATGAGATTGCCTAGACATATGAACAATATTCAATGGTTAATTTCCTATTAGTTATCTCTCTTTCCCAAGTAGCAATTGTGTATCTTAATATCATAGTTTTTAAATCTTTTAAGAACAAACTATATCTATGAGTCATATTCAAGTATCTCAGAATTCTGTTCACTGTTTCAAAATGATTTTCATTTGGATTATTCATGTGCTGGTGTAATATACTGACTATGCAAAATTAAGGTCTAGTGTGTGATAGGTAAAGTAGTTTGCTCACAGGTGTTTGATATCTTTCTTTGTCAACTGAATTGTTTTTCTCACTTATGTTCAACCTTTTGTAGGAATTCGTATCATGTTTACGCCCAGGCATGTTTGTTTCACTTAAGAGGTATTAGATATACATCATTGGGGATTCTCCCCTTAGATAGGTCACTTCATTCCTAGAAAATATATGAGATTTTTGAGATCGTTGATCTCAAATTCTGTTGCAAGCATTCTTTATAGTGTGATAATTTCGTCTGAATCGCCACCTATTAAGATAATATCATGTACATATACTATGAGAAATAGTAATCTAGAATTGGATTTAATAAATAGTATATAACCAGCTTGACACTGATGATATATATTTGTAATCATTTATTTATCAAACCCATCAAATCAAGTACAAAGA